TGCCGGCCGGCTTCCTCCCAGAGACCCTCAACACGCCGCTGCCCGACACCATCGAGGAGGTGGAGAGCAGGTGGGTGTGTGGCAGGAGGGGATGGATGGATGATGGATGGATGGATGATAGATGGGTGGTGAATGGGTGGATGATGGTTGGATGATGGATGGTTGGATGATGGAAGGATGATGGATGGATGGATGGATGGATGGATGATGGATAGATGATGAATGGTTGGATGATGGATGGTTGGATGATGGATGGATGGATGATGGATGGATGATGAATGGTTGGATGATGGATGGATGATGGATGGATGAGTGGGTGGGTGGATGGATGGATGGATGGATGGATTGATGGATGGATGGACAAACTGAAAGATGGAGGGACAGCTGTATGTGTTGAGGGACAAGTGCGTGGGTGTGTTGGCAGAAGAACAAGTGTCGTGAGTGGCTGAACGGCCGGACAGATAGACAGATGTATGGACGTGGTGCAAGCTGGGCTGCTTCCCACCCTGTCAGTGGCTGCTCCATCCCGCCCTGCCCCACAGACCCTCCTCCTCCTCATCTTCCTCCCTCCAGGGCCAAACGGAAGAAGACGGATGACCCCAAAGAGAAGATTCCCCTCCAGCCCCAGGACAAGGCCCCACAGAAGGAGGCCTGAAGGACCATGGGGCGTGGGGGACACACACACACGCTGCGCCTGGCCACCAGCACCCGCCCTCCCCGTGGGTCCCACCTCGTTTGGGGACGGGTACGAATTGGTTGCCTGCCCCACAGCTGGTGACCTCCCTGCGTGGGGCAGGGGACGTCCTCGGAGGAATAAAGCAGCTCTGCTGGGGACAGCGTCTCGGGGTGTTATCTGAGCCCACCCAAGGTCACCCCCAGTAAGATGACGCCCAAGAACCCCCGTGTTGGAGATCACCTCCGGTGACACCTCATAACCGTGTCCCCAAGGTCACCTCCAATAGGCCAATGCCTGAGAACCTTGTCCATGAGGTCACCTCCAACAAGGTGACGCCCAAGAACCCCCTTGTTGGAGGTCACCTCCAACGAGACGACACCCAATAAGCCCAAAGCCACCCAACTCTTGTCCCGGCAGAGGGGTCCCCCCAAATCTCAGAGAATGGGGGTGGGGAGAATCACGAGCAACTCCCAGATCCAACCCCCTCCC